ATTTTTTCTATAAGAAATACTGGCACATCCTTCATAGTCAGGTCATTAACTTCTGCCGTAAGGTCTTCTTAATATCCACTATGCCCCCTAAAATAAACAAAACCTTCTTATGACTAATTTCTAAGTTCCCTAATTCAGCAATGCTAAAAAGAACTTTAGACCAATTGGTTTATGCAACATAATGTACAAGCTAATCACAAAGATTATCGTGAATAGGATTAAGCCTCTCCTACATAATATCATTGGCCCCACACAGGCTAGCTTTCTCTCAAATAGAATAGTTTTTGATAATTCCATTGTTGTCCAAGAATACATCACCCATTTCCAAAAAATAAAAGGAAAAATACAAATATGATCCTAAAGGTAGACCTAGAAAAAGCCTTTGACAAACTTGAGTGGTCCTTCATTAGGGATTCCCCAATGTTCTTTAACTTCCCACCTAATCTGATCAATCTGATCCTTTCTTGTATCTATTCCAGCTCCATCTCCATTTCTGGTCAATAGGAACCAAACCAAATTTTTCTACCCTTCTAGAGGGATCAGGCATGGAGACCCCATATCTCTTTATCTATTCATTATCTGCATGGATAGGCTTTACAGGACTATTGATCAGATTGTTCTGAGAAAGGATTAGCTCCCCATCAACATCAGCAGGGGTGGCCCCAAAATTTCCCACCTATTCTTTGCAAATGACGTTACATTATTTACTAGAGCCAATAGAAAAAATTATGATACTATCTTGACTTCACTAGAGGATTTCAAAATGTTTCATCAGGGCAGAATGTCAACTTTTAGAAATCCAAAGCTATTTTCTCTGCCAACTATAATGAGGACAGGGCCAATCTCTGTAGCTCAATGCTAGGAATTAGAAAAAGTATAGAGTTTGGCAAGTACCTGGGATTACCCATCTTCCACAAAAAAGCCTACTAACAGGGTCTTCTAATTCACCATTGATAACATGAACACAAAGCTGGCTGGATGGAAAAGTAAGTTTTTAAACATGGCTGACTGTACAACCTTAGCAAAAGAAAGATTGGGAAGTATCCTTACCCGTGTGATGCAATACATAAAGATGCCATCACATGTTACTAACCAAATTAATAGAATCCAAAGGAACTTTCTTTGGGGTACCACTTCAGAAAAAAGAAAGATGCATCTAGTAATATGGGATATTGTCACTATGCCAAAAAAATGAGGGGGGACTTGGCTTACAACAGGCCCAGATGAAGAACAAGGCCAGCCTCACCAGCCTGTCTTGGAGACTGTACCACAACACTGACACAATCTAGGCTAGGGTCTTAATGGGAAAACATTATAGTGGAAGGCAGAGCAAAACTAAAGCCAAAACTAGGACATGGTAATACATTTAAGAGGGCTGGATGGTATGCACTAAAGCTTCTAGATGGGTAATCCATAAAGGGGATAGAGTTAATTTCTTAACTGATAATTGGATCCCCAATATGCAACCACTAAGCTCCATTTTTCATGGGCCATGGCAAAGTAATGAATCGACCTTGAAAATTAATTCCATATATTCTAATGGGGATTGGAACTTCAATGCAATACATTACCCTTTGCCCCAGAGCATAACCAATGTTATCTAATCCACCTTCATCCCTTATACTACCAATGCTGAAGACAAGCTTATCTGGAACCCACCGATAATGGAATTTTCAGTATATAACCTGCCTACTCCTTCATTGACTATGAGTTGGATCACAATAATGGCTAGGCAGACCACTTTAGCTGGATTTAGAGACTTAAAGTCCTAAATAAAATTAAAATATTCACTTGTCTCATGCAACACAACAGGCTTCCAACAGGAAAACAACTGCACAGCATTGGCTTAAATGTCTGCCCCATATGCTATTTTTATAACTCTAAAGTAGAAGACATCAACCACATCTTTTTTGAATGCATTAATGCAAAAATCTTCTGGTTAAATATGTCACGGGAATGCGCTAACCATGCATGCTACCCCCACATCTCTTTTTTTTTTAAATAATTGGGAACAAACCTGGAATAAGGTTAAAAATATGCCTTTCAATGACACAATTGACTAGAAATCCCTTATACCTTTCTGTTTTTGGAGCATCTAGCTAACTAGGAACAATAATATCTTTGAAAAAAGGAGAAACTATATCCCTATTGACCAAACCATTGCTAGAGCTATAAAATACTATCATGTAGCAGTTCAATACAGTGACAAAAAGCTTAACTACTATCTATATCAAATGGCAGCCTCCACCCATTGGCTCCTACAAACACAACACTGGCAGGGTTACTTGTTTAAATACAGGAATAGGGGGAGTTGGTGGAGTATTCAGAAATAATAGAGGAGATTGGGTGTTAGGTTATATGAAAGGTCTGCCACACACCACCAGTATTAGGTCAGAACTTCAAGCCCTTTGCCAGGGTTTAAAAATAGCTCTTGATCATAACCTTATACCACTAGAGATTAACATTGACTTTGAATAAGTTACTAAAACTATAAAAGATGGAAACCTCCATTATAACTCCATTATTTTTTATTGCAGGTCATTGATGGAGCAGATCTTTAGGGAACAGAATTAGGTAGCGGACCTCCTCGCAAAGGAATGAGTCAGAAAAGGAGTTTTTGCTAGTATTGAATTTTTGGCAGTTCCGCCGATATTTGTAAATATGGCAATGTGGACAGACATCCTATGAACTGTATTTACAAGGAATGTTAATGGTTGTAATACTAATGGGGTGCAAAATAATGACACAGAAACTCATGAGAGCCTAATCTCTCAAATTATGATGTAATTATTTTGGAATAGTTATATATATAGTATCCAGTTGACCAAAAATAGAAGAGTTCTGAGAAAGTGTGTGATGTCATCAAATTAGATATACTACATGAATTTTGTGATATGTCGTGACATTTTATTGACTTCTCCAAGTCTAAAATTTTTGTAACCCCATATCTCAAGAAATACTATTCTTAGTAGGAGTATTAGTAATTGGGTAGGTATTTCCTTGACAAACGATTGAGGTAAGTATTTTGGTGTTCCGCTTTTAAGGACAGTGGTGGTGTAGGTACCTAGGTGATAATTTTTTATAATAATAAGCGGTGACAGTGGTTAAGAGTAAAAGCGGATGGTTACATTTTAATAATATTCTGACTTCGTTATAAACCTTTATCATTAAGATTTATTCGATTAAGTGACTGTAAAATAAGAAAAATAAACACTATTGATGATTGAAATCTTAATAATTAAGATACAGATCTAAAAATAAAAAATAACTTAATGACTGGGATCTAAATAATTAAGATTCAACGATTCATACCTTCATATAGGATGATTTGGGTGAGGTTGTGAGTGGTATTCCGCACACTAAGAAGCTTTTCATAGGAGGATATTTCAATGGCCACATTGGGGTGACCTCTGGGGATTACGATGACATTCATAGCGGCTTCGATTTTTGAGTTAGAAACGGAGGTGGAACTTCACTGTCGGATTTTGCTAAGGCTTTTGATTTGATGATAGCTAACTCAAGTTTTCCAAAGAAGAAGGAGCACTTGGTCACATTTTAGATTTCGATGGCCAGGACCCAGATTGATTATCTGCTCCTTGGGAAGTCTGAAAGAAGTCTGTGCGCGGACTGCAAGGTCATCCTAGTGAGAATCTCACTACCCTATATAAGCTCCTGGTCATGGACTTGTAGATGAGGAAGCGAAGAAAAAAGGGTTGTGTATAGTCTACCTAGGATCAAGTGGGGAGATTTAACTAAAGACATAACCCAGGAATTGGGGGATAAGTTGTTGGCTATGGGGGTATGGAAGAGTAGTGGGAATGTGAGTGGTATGTGGATCGCGACTTTGAATTGCATTATGGAAGCTGCTAGAGAGGTATTGGGGGTCTCGAAAGGCTCATCGGGTGTCCTCAAAGGGGATTGGTGGTGGATTTCTGAGGTCCAAGGTAAAGTGAAAGCCAAGAAAGCGGCATATTACTTGTTGTTACTTTCGTTTCGGTTCTCTAATTGCAATACCTAGTGTTAGTTTTGTATTTTCACTTTGATTTTTTGATTGGTGTACTTGTTGTTGCCCTTCCTTTTACCTTTCCTAAGGGTTTACCAGAAAAAACCTTTGTGCCTTCTTGAAGGTAAGGGTAAATTCTTGAAGGTAAGGCTTTTGATTTGATGATAGCTAACTCAAGTTTTCCAAAGAAGAAGGAGCACTTGGTCACCTTTCAGATTTGGGTGGCCAGGACCCAGATTGATTATCTGCTCTTTGGAAAGTCTGAAAGAAGTCTGTGTGCGGACTGTAAGGTCATCCGAGTGAGAATCTCACCACCCTGTATAGGCTCCTGATCATGGACTTGTAGATGAGGAAGCAAAGAAAAAGGGTTGTGTATGGTCTACCTAGGATCAAATGGGGAGATTTGACTAAAGATAGAGCCCAGGAATTGGGGGATAAGTTGCTGGCTATGGGGGCATGGAGGAGTAGTGGAAATGTGAGTGGTATGTGGACCGCGACTTCGAATTGCATTAGGGAGACTGCTAAAGAGGTATTGGGGGTCTCGAATGGCTCATCAGGTGGCCGCAAAGGGGATTGGTGGTGGAGCAGTGAGGTCCAAGGCAAAGTGAAAGCCAAGAAAGCGGCATATTACTTGTTGTTACTTTCATTTCGGTTCTCTGATTGCAATACCTAGTGTTAGTTTTGTATTTTCGCTTCAATTTTCTGATTGATGTGCTTGTTGTTGCCCTTCCTTTTACCTTTCCTAAGGGTCTATTAGAAACAACCTTTGTGCCTTCTTGAAGGTAGGGATAAGTTCTGTGTATACACTATCTTCCTCACACCCTACTTGTAGGATTATACTAAGTTTGTTGTTGTTGATTCATACCTTGGTATAGTTCAAACAAATGAGGGCTTACTGGAGAAAAAATAAAAGAACCGGGGAGGGGTAATTTGTAATTTACAGAAAACATAGGGGCAGGTCTGATAATAACAAAAATGATTGTATAATCAAGTCTTGCTCGTTTCCCAAATTTTCCAATCACAGTGATGGATGCTGCTCTGTTTTCTCCTTCTTCCCTCTTCGGCGGCAACTCCTCTGGTACTCCTTTTACTATTTCCTAACAATATTCCTAAAGGATTCAAAATGCATTCATTTTATATTAGTTAAAGAGATTTGGGGTTTTTTTTTGGCAGATGAAGAGAACACGGAGACCCAGCAAAATGTGGAGAGGAGGCACCAGTTCCCTGGAATGGTGAGTTCAATCATATTTTTCAATAAATACCCCCAACGAAATTTATTATTATTTGTGTTTTGTGCTCAGCTCTTGATTCTGTATTTTGGGTTCCCAGAAATTGTATAGTATAGCAGTTACTCACTCTGTCCCAAAAAAGAATACACGCCTTTCTATATTTATAAATAATTTAACTTTAAGATTCTCATTTTAATACCAGAATTAACTAAGCAAAATCAATTTTGACATTATAGTTAGTGATTGACTCTCCACTTTCTGAAGATTTATTGGGTTTGTGTATTAGTTCTATAAAGTGAATGTAGGTGAAGATTGATGTATGTACATTTGTTAAATCACTAATTTGGTCTTGTCATTTTTTACTGTGTGCATATTTACATGAAGATGTGATCTTTTTGTTTTATGCATTGAAAATTTTAGTTGCATGCTGGTTATCAACTCTAGTTGTAGGTTTAAAAGGAATATCATGGTTGCAAATTGCGAAGTAAAAGTCTAAGGAATCTTTCCAATATTATGTATAGTTCCCTTGGACAATTACCTGGGAGAATATACGATTTTGTTATTATTTTTTACTGTACATTGATACCATCTTCTAGCTAAATAAATACAGTTTGAGATCAGTATTCAGTTAATTGACCAAATCTTCACTTATCAGCAGTGGCGGATCCAGAAATTTTAAGTTATGGGTGCTCAACTATCTTTAATTTGAAAATTTCTACTTTGACTGGGTGCTAATTTGATAATTATTAATTTTTCTATATAAGTGTTTGTCTCCAAATACAATGGGTGCTTGAGCACCCATAATGCACAAGGTAGATCCGCCATTGCTTATCAGAAGTTATGGGGAATCAAATTAAGTTTCCATGATTTATCACAATGCTGCTGTTTTCTTGTCTTTATGCCAAAGTAAATGTGTTGGGGGGATATGTGAGTATTTTGTTTATTGCGTTCCTAAGCATGGAAACTAATACACTTTGGCTTGCCCACAGGAATTGCTCATCCAAGAATTCTCTTTTCACCAGCTGAATGCTAATTTGCTTTGGCCTGGGACCTTTGCGTTTGCAGAATGGCTTGCGCAACATACATCCTGGTTTAGAGGGCGTCGCATAATTGAGCTCGGCAGGTAATACCTTAAAAAGCATTTAATGTGTTGTCCTCTCATCCTAAAAGATTAGACGTTCTTCAATGTTCTCTCTGCTAAAGGGTCGTAGCTTGTTGCAATCCTGTTGAAATGTTCCTTGTAAATTTGAGAAGAAACAAACTTCCTTGTTCAAAATCAAATAATGTTTTTCATTATAGACTGTCATATTAGCAATGTTCTATGACGTGTTTTCGTCCTTAGCCAATTTTTATACGAGTGTCATTCCATCTAAGATACCTTCAGTTATAATGCTAAGTTTCACAAAGTAATAAAGAACTTCAGTAAAAGCACTTCTTGGTACAAGGAGAATAGATAACTCCTTATATCTTCAGTAGCACAATCAAAGATGAAGCAGGATCCCGATATGACAATCTGAATTGTATAAAGTGTGCAGTTTGAGCAGTAGCTGCTTTGTTGGAATATTTTTGCTTCATGAATGTTTTAGAAATGATTTGCGGTTCTGGTTTGTGAAGTTATATTGTACCATATATTCAATTTGCAATCTCATTAGCATCTGTCATGCTATCCTCTGAAAGAGTTCTATTTATTTGCTTTATTTATTCCCTCTTGGCTCTCATGTGTATCTAATTTTGAAAGGAGGGAAGTGGAAGAGAAGAATTACGATTTATTACGTTAATTTAAAAATGTCAATTGGTGTCTTTTCCTCTTACTGTGTCCTTCCTTGTGCTAACTTTTGATTTTTGTCACAGTGGAACTGGAGCTTTGGCCATCTTCTTGAGAAAATCATTTCAACTTGATATTACAACGTCGGACTATGATGATCCTGATGTTGAAGAGAACATAGCACATAATTGTCGGGCGAACGGCGTTTCACCAGCCCTTCCTCACATAAGGCGTTAGTTCTTTCTCCCATGAAGTTTATTCATATACCCTTTTTATAACTGTGATGAAAATCCTCCCTGGGGAGAAAGAAAACTATACACCATAAACATGTAACTTCTCATCTGATATAGTACAAGCTATGCTCTTTTGAGCAAACTTCAGAGAAATAAATTGACATTGTATTATTGCTCTCAGATTCATGGGGAGATGTTTTTCCGATAGCTGATCCAGACTGGGACCTCATAATAGCAAGTGATATCCTACTATGTAAGTAATTCGCCTCAGGCTTGCTATTACCCTGTAGCGGATTTATGTTTACATGGATTAGGCGCTCTTGATATATCAGATCTCTCGTGCATATCTTCTAACCTTTCCCCTCCGTTTTCTTGTTCATTTGCTACTTGCAGATGTGAAACAATATGAGAACTTGGTAAAGACCCTATGCTTTCTCTTGAAATCCTACAAGCCAAAAGTTAATGAAACAGGTTCTGGAACTAACGAAGAAAAGGGTTAGTTTTGTACATTTTGTAAAGCTTGCCTATTTATCTTATACAGCACTAATCAGGTTGTTTAACCTGATCTATCAAAACTTATCGGCCAGATACATGCTCATTGCCTCGGCCAGCTTTCTTAATGAGCTGGAGGCGCAGGATAGGGAAGGAAGACGAGTCACTCTTTTTCACAGGATGTGAAAAGACCGGTCTTGAAGTAAATCATTTGGGATCCCGTGTGTATTGCATTAAGCTCGAAGAACCGAGTGCCATTGAAGCAGTATAAGATAATTCAATGAATTTTAAGAGCGATGGAACTGAGTTTAGCTTTATGCTTGGTTCTGTGGATACTTTCTTCTAAAGCTGGCTAACCCCATCGTGAGGGCACAGGGGTCTATACCCTTCGCCATATCTTCATGTTTCCGTTAGATGGGGCTCGCGCATGTTCTGCAATACCCCTTTTTATGGGTGGTGTATGGGGATTTTGTTTGTTCTTCTCGGGACACGTGAAGCCACCTGGTATAGAGGTAAGTCCCCTTACGACATGTAACGCACAGCCCGATATGGCTCATTTGATGTTTCCGGGTTGTTGCTTGTTGGAAGTATTGTTATTCTAATGTATCTTATGCAGATCTTTTCATGCATTTTTTCTCCATGCTTTTTTGCAACTTCTGAGCAGCTTAATTTACATTAACTAAAAGGACTAATCCATGTTTATAGTCCCAACAAAATACTTGACATAGAGGATCATATGCCCTGCGGTACAAAAATTGAATTTCTGTTGCTATCACTAAAAGAAAAATGAAAGCTTGTCCTGAGGCCGGGGAAAATATGCAGGTAAATAATGCTACTCCATATATCTTGTCCCTTATTAAACAACAACATACCCGGTATAATTCTACATGGTGAGATCTGAGGTGGGTAGTGTATACGCAGACCTTACCCCTACCTTGTGAAGATAGAGAGGTTGTTTCTAATAGACCCTCGGCTCAGGAAAGCATAAGGTCTATTGGAAACAACTTCTTTGTCTTCCCTTATTGTCGACTTTATTAATTTCCGACCAAAAGCTTGGTCCTTTAAAATTAAATTGAAAAGAAATAAGTGCTATGTATTAGAGCTATATAGCGTTTCATGAATAACTATAGTTTATACAGGGATCTATGTATACAGAATAGAGTGTGGAGTAAGAACGTGTATTAACATTATCAAGATAAAGCTAATTGATACTTACTGTGATCTCTTTTTATTATCTGACTATGTATGGAGTATTGACGACGGTGGGTTGTTATATTGGTAAGCATACTCCACTTCTAACCAAGAGGTTGTGAGTTCGAGTCACCTCAAGAGTAAGGTGGGGAGTTCTTGGAAGGAGAGAGCCGAGGGTCTATCGGAAACAGCCTTTCTACCCCAGGGTAGGGGTAAGGTCTGCGTACACA